TTGACGATTTTGAAAAGGTGAGTGTCCTTCAGATGGAAGAACATTTTGAGAATATGAGAAGTCAAGAACTTGTTGTGGTCGTAAAGGGAATTGTGATATAGAACTTGGTGTGAAATTGATGTTATTCATTCCATAATTTGGAAACTGCGGAAAAATTTGTGAGTTTGGTTCCACTTGAGAGTTGAGATCTATTTGATAATAAGAAAATGAAGGTTGAGTATTTGAATTTTTTTTCGATTTTGAAGGATTTTTTTTTTCCGATTGGGTTTATCCATATTCAATAGTTTTTTGGATTTTGTAGATAAAAAAAATTACTTTAAAAGGAATGAATTGAGCTAAATGAAGAAATTGAGCTAAATGAAGGAATTGAGCTTAATGAGAAGTTGTTCAAAAATACCTCAATATTGGTCTCTTTTTATAGAGAAAAAAATAAATAAAGATGTTGGTAAATTTTTTTTATTTTTTTATTTGTATTTTTTAATTTATTACCGTTGCAAAAATTTGCAATGATAATAATCTAGCCGTTGTATGCATGCGTGGTGTCATCCAACAATATTGCCGTTGGTGTCATATGTTGCAAGTCCATGCAACTTTTCCTTTTTCTTCCTCCAATTATAACCTGTCACTTGTCATTTACATTTTCATGACCACATTTCTAGTTTGGTCATCTTTAAGACCTGATCATCACTTTTTTCCATCAATTTTTTCTTTGTTTTATTTTTTTAATATAAAAACTCTACTCTCTCTCCTCGGACTTGGTCATCCATTGGCCTCACTCTAGGTGACTACCATTAGGATTACCTCAAAAAAAAAAAAAAAAAAAAAAAAAAAGGTGACTACCATTAGGATTTGTTTAGGAGTACGAGTATATATGAGTATAGATTTATGACTAACCCGCTTAACTCCACCTTTTCTGGCATTTCAAACTTATCGTCCTTGAGAATTCTGAAACAAAAATTTGAAGTTGCCACTTTAAAAGCTTCGATTATCTCAAACCTCCATTACTCTCTAAATTCAACAACATTTCAAGAACCCTAATTCCCCTTATTCCTTCATTCATCAATTTCTCATAATTTCAAACAAAATGACAACCTCCTACAATCCTGAAGACGAAGCAAACGATTATGAAGAAACCCAATTGACAGACCCCCAACTTTCTCTCTCCTCTTCTTCCGAAACTTACATGGTGGGTTTTGTCATCGTCAAAATCGTCGGCGTTCAGTACTACACCGGTAGAATTAGCGGCCGAGAAATGGTGGGTTTAGTCCGAGAACCCTTGAATGTGTTTGATGAAAACGCCATTAAAGTGCTCAACACTCGTGGGGCTCAAGTGGGTCACATTGAACGAGTTGCTGCGAAAGTTCTAGCGCCATTAATGGATACCCAATTGATTATTGTTGAAGGTATTGTTCCTAATACTCCTAATGATGGTTTTAGGTTTAAAATTCCTGTTCAACTTCATATATTTGCTAGAATTGAGGCTTTCCCAGATGTTCAATCTGCAATTTTAGGAGGTGGGTTGCAGTTAATTGCAGGGAATAGTGCTAGTTTCGCCCTATCGGATTCCGAGGTTATAAAGGAGAAGAGGAATAGTAAGGATGTTAAGAGTGTAGACGAGATTTTTAAGTTGGTGGATGAAAATGTGGGTAGGAAAGAGGGTTCGGTTGTGAAATTGGAGCCCCCAAAAGATATTATTTTGCCTGAGTTGTTTGATCACCAGAAAGAAGGGCTTGGGTGGTTGGTTGGGAGGGAGAATTCTGAGGAATTGCCCCCTTTTTGGGAGGAGAGAGATGGGGTTTTTGTTAATGTGTTGACAAATTATCAGACAAACCTGAGGCCTGAGCCGATTAGGGGTGGGATTTTCGCCGATGATATGGGATTGGGGAAGACCTTAACTTTACTTTCTTTGATTGCTTATGATAAAAGATGTTGTGGTAGTGTAGATAAAACCAGTGAGAATTGTGGTGGTGGGGATGATGTAGATGATTCTGGTGGTAGGAAGTCGAAGGGAGGTAGAAAGGGCAAAAGGGGTAGTGTTAATGCTGCTAGGAAGAAGAGGAAAGTTGATTCAAGTGATGGGGTGAATGAGAACTTGGTATCATCAAATACAACATTAGTTGTGTGCTCGGTTTCTGTATTTTCAGTTTGGACAGAACAGCTGAGTGATCACACTTATCTTAACTCGTTGAAATACTATGAGTACCATGGCAAGGACAGGACACGTGATGTGGAGGTGCTTAAGAAGTATGATGTTGTGCTCACCTCATATAATACTTTGTCGGTTGAGGAGAGTCAATCTGAGTCACCAATGAACAAGATGGACTGGAGGCGTATCATCTTAGATGAGGGACATATGATTAAGAACGCCAATGCAAAGCTAAGTCGTGCAGTGACAGCTTTAAATAGTAAGAGAAGATGGGTTGTGACAGGAACACCCATACAGAACAGCTCCTATGATCTGTTTTCTCTTATGGCTTTCTTGAAATTTGAACCTTTCTCTAATAAAGGCTACTGGAATAGACTTGTGCAACGACCATTAGTTCAGGGAGATCAAAAAGGTCTTGAGCGTCTTCAGGTACATCTTTTCTCTTGTTTTTTATTTTTTTTTAGCTTGTGGGAAATTAGTTATGCTTTAGGAAAATAAAACACCTGTTCTACGTAGAAGTAATATTTATGAGATAATTCATCGTCAGTTGACTCTGTCATTTTTTGTTACTTAGTGTGTCTGCCCATCACCAATCACTCCATTCCTTCATGCTAGGGACTTTAAAGTAAAGTCAACAGTGCAATGAATAGCAATGATATATTGTTCGTTATTCTTAACCTTGATATCTAAACATTTCATTGTAGGTCTTAATGGCAACTGTCGCATTGAGAAGAACAAAAGAGCAGAATTTGATCCAGTTACCATCAAAATCAATAGATACTTGTTATGTTGAACTTTTGCACGAGGAACGTAGACTATATGATCGCATGGAAGAAGAAGCCAAACAGATTGTGAAGAATTATATCAGTGATGGTAGTGTAACACGCAACTATTCCACTGTCCTCAGCATTATATTGAGACTTCGACAAATCTGTACTGATGTTGCATTGTGCCCACATGATATTAAATCCTTGCTCCCTCCAGATAATGTTCAAGGTTGGCTCTCCTTATGTATTTGCAGCTATGTTTTACATCTTATCCTGCACAGACATGCTTTTCTGTCAACTCAGTTGTCAATTTATCTCCAATTTTAAACGGTGTCTTCTACCGATGCATCTATGTGTTGCTGAGAATGTTCATTAATCTGCAATATACATGTTTTGACTCTGTTAGATTACATATCTGTTCAAAGTGCAGAGCTTTCAAGCATTAATATATAATCTAATCAGGAAAACTTGGCTAGATTGATATTAGTGGATGTTATCCGCAATATGTACTTTTGCATACATGCTGTATATTTCTATTGATAAATATGTAAAGTGCCAACTGGTTGGTTTTTTTTTGTTGCCTTTTGTTGTTTCTCCTTAGACAATTGACTTAATTTATGTAACTCCTTTAGTAGTTTTTTTTTTTTTTTTTTTTTTTTTTTTTTGAAAGACATTCTTTAGTTATTTGTAATTTAATTCCATTTCTAGTGATTTTGTCTCCATATATTAGCTATTCTTCTCCATTCAGAAGTGATTATCTATTCTGCTCTGTGAAAATTATTATTATTGTTTGAAGCTAAAATAGGTCGCCATGGAAGATTCTCTTAGGTCAGTTGAAAGTGAAGACATAGATTTAGTTGTAATACACTATTAGGCTATTAGCTATTATGTCCGGTGGGGGAAATCAAGATATGCAAGCTTTTTTTTTCTTCATTTGATGAACAATACTTTACTTTCAGCCATTAGAAAGGTTTCACCCATCTTAAGGGAATTTATAGCCTTTTCCTCTCAATTTCCGTCTTACTCTCTTACTTGTCATGAAACTTTTTAATTTTTGTACTTATCGTGAATTGGTGTTCTTGTTCTACATAGATTAGATTTAACTTTGTAGAGTTTTAGGTTTTTCAATGTTTAATCTGTCTTATATGTAAAGCTACGGGAATTTCCGGTTTTTCAAGCTGAATGCTTTTTTTATTTTATTTCTAGGCAACCTGTTTTGAAATCTATCTTCATTTTACTTGTTTGCACTGTTATGGCTTTTTAACATCCTGTGTGATACCTTTTTTTATCCTGAACATTACATTTTTAGTTGATTAAATTCACATGAAGAAGAAAACGGTCCTGTAGAAGGATTGAGCTAATTAAAGTATCTAAGACTTAAGGCACTATTGATGCTGTTTCCTTTAATTACATGTTGATATTGTAATAAAATGCCTAGCATCTATCTGGATACCAATCATCTTCATTTTGTTACTATCCTGCAGATGTGTCTAATAATCCTCAACTATTGGAGAAGTTGGTGTCATTGCTGCAAGATGCTGAAGACTTTGACTGTCCAATTTGTATCTCTCCACCAACGGATGTTATAATAACAAGTTGTGCCCACATATTCTGCCGTGCCTGCATTGTTAAAACTCTTAAGCTTACCAAAGCCAACTGTCCTATGTGCCGCAATCCCTTGTCAGAGTCCCAGCTTTACTCAGCCCCACCCCCAGCAGAGTTGTCAGATGACAACAATACATCCTCTTCACCTAAAGTATCTTCAAAAGTTTCTACTTTACTGAAACTTCTCTCAGAAAACAGAGGAGTTAAATCTGTTGTGTTCTCACAATTCCGCAAGATGTTATTGTTACTTGAAGAACCACTGAAAGCGGCTGGGATTAAGACGCTGCGGTTGGATGGCTCAATGAGCGCAAAAGAGAGAGGTCTAGTGATACAGGAATTTAGTGTTTGTGAAATTGATTCTCCTACTGTTTTGCTTGCCAGTTTACTCTGGTACAGGTATGACTGAGTATGAACTTTTTTTTTCCTAGTCAGAATTTTTTTCTATCTAGAATAATGAAATGATTAGAGTTACATAACTACAGGTATAAATCTTACATCTGCTTCAATGGTGTACTTATTGGAGCCATGGTGGAACCCAGCAACTGAGGAACAAGCAATGGACCGTGTTCATAGAATTGGCCAGAAAAAAGATGTGAAGATTGTGAGGATCATCGCTCGAAACACAATCGAAGAGAGAGTGTTAGAATTGCAAAAGAAAAAGAAGGAGTTGGCTAAGGGAGCTTTTGGAAGGAAAGGGAAGGATAAGAAAGAAACTACTGTAGGAGATCTTTGTAGGCTTATTTCTCTCTCAGCTTGATCTGCTTTTCATAAAAACACGGTTACACTTAAATTATATCTAGTCCTAGAATTTGCTCTATGATGTATATTTTGGGGGCAATTTTGTGCAGACTAGCTGTATAAATATCATTAGTTTTTGCCTTTTGATCTGGAATGCAATTAAAGGGTCGTACAACGAAAGTGTTCCAGCAGCCCTATTTTGTATTTGAACATATTAAGAGGTGTAAGGTTGTATGTATCAAGATATATTAACTGGGTATCCCTGTAACCGCCTTCAAGCTTTGAAGGCACTTCATGATGTATGAAAATTTTGCTTTATAATCTTATACAGTATTTTCTGCAGAATCAAGGGCAACAAGATGAATCATGGAAATTATACAATATCCTTTTAAACATATGCTGCAAAGTTTCTGTAAATAAAAGTTGCTATTTTACTGATATGTAAACTTATTACTGATAATGTTTTCTAGTTAGGAGTAGCAACAGTAAGCGCTGTTGTAAGGAGTATTTTAACCCTTCTCTGCTCAAGATCATCAATCTTCAGCTGTGAATCAAAGGATTCTGAGGCGGTTTATTGAGCTGTAATCAGGTCCATTAGCAGGTACGTATCCCTAAAATGTTTAACAGGGTGCATAGCACCTAGATTTTGAGGAGCTTATTTCTAACAGCTGTAAGATTGTTCAGAGCCTCCCTCATACTAATGCGCCCATCAGGGTGAGAGACAGTACATGCTAATCCAACCTCAAAAATTTTCGCCACACAATACTCTAAATGTTCTTGTACTAATGCTTGTGATTTTTTGTAGCTACGATCAGCAGCAGCAGCAGCAGCAAGTTCTGGCAGCTGTTGATGCAGCTCAGGATCGAGCAGGAGTTGCATCATTTGAGTAGGAAAGCATGCTTGAACCCATCCAACTAGACCTTGTTCTCCTGTAAAACTCTCGTTGCTTGGGCTTTTCGCGGTAAATAGCTCCAACAATGTCACCCCAAAGCTGTATGTATCTCCGGCTGTTGATGGTTTGGCTCCTAACCCATACTCTGCATTGCTCATAATTTAATCAAATATATTCATCAATCAATATCATACAACTTCACTCAAAAAGCAGAGGACGAAATATTGATGTCATATGATCATTATTTTTTCCTAAGGCTCTACGCATAAAATATATTCTCTGTATCATGTTAAGTTAGAATATTCAATCATAGAATATAACTATTTTGGAATTGTGACGGTTTTCTCTGTACATGCTAAAAAATAAATTTGTGACTATTAATTCTGAAGGTGGGATTTTTAAAATGAGATTTTTTATTTTATTTTATTTTTTATTTTTTAATGTATACATTAGAAATGTAAATAGTGTTTGGCATTTATAGATTACTAACCTGGGGGCATATACCCAATAGAGCCCTTCATAACATGGCTTGAACTGATGGAATGTTGACCACCAATTTGCTCCATTAACAACCTTGCCAACCCGAAGTCTCCAATATTCGCGGTCATATCTTCATCGAGAAGGATGTTGCTAGGCTTTATATCACAATGCACCACAGGGACTTCACTGTCATGATGTAGATAATCTAGTGCACTAGCAACATCAATAGTCACATTCAATCTTTCCAAAAAACCTAAACCATCTCCATTTTCTTTCTTTCTTTTACCCTTAATCCAAACTTCTAAGCTTCCATTGCTAAGGAATTCATAAACAAGAGCAAGGAATTCCTTGTTTTTGAAATCCAAACTTGAGCAAGATGTTATAAGCTTAACAAGATTTCGATGCCTAACATTCCTCAGCAAGAAAGCTCTTCCAAGAAGCTGCGATTCTCATGTCAAGAACCTTAATTGCAACAGTTATGTTATCTTGTAGACACCCTTTGTACACTGATCCAAAACTCCCACTTCCTATCAAATTCGCCTCACTAAAACCTCCGGTAGCTTGGCGAAGCTCATCATATTTTACCATGTAATGTCCTTCCTGCATCTTCGAGTCTGATGTTTTACTACTTGACCTGGCTTTTCTTTTCCTTATCGCCAAATACAAACCAGCTATAAAAAATAACACCAAGACTGCCACAATTGCAACAACAATACCCGCTTTGCGTAACCGTCGTTTGTGATGATGAGAACCTCCACATTTAGATTGCAAAGACAGTCTCGGGTTGCCTTGTAAGTAGACTCTAGAAAGATTTCCTAAGATCCCACCACAAGGAATTTCTCCTTCGAGATTGTTATAGGACAAATTTAAGGATTGAGTAGAGAGTTCGAGGTTGGAAGGAATGGAGCTAGATAGTTGATTATGAGAAAGATCCAAGGTTTGAAGGGCTTTTAAGCTTCCAAAAGAATTTGGTATAGAACCAGAGAAGAAATTCCTAGCCAAACTCAATGTCTCCAAACTCTTGCAATTCGAGATGGAGCTAGGAATGTTTCCAGACAATCGATTACTCGAAAGATCAAGGCTAATGACTATGGTTAGTTGCTCTATATCATCTGGTAAATGCCCATCGAAATGATTGTGAGACATATTCAAGGTGTTGCTCAAAGATGGGAGGTTAAAGATCTCTCTAGGAATGGTTCCATTAAGCATGTTGGTTGATAAATCCATGTAAGTGAGACTACTATAACCCCCAAAAGTACAAGGAACTTGACCTACCAAACTATTACTAGATAAGTCGAGTTTAGTTAGCTTAATGAGACTACCAAAGGAGTCAGGAATAGCCTCAGAAATATGATTATGAGACAAATCCAAGACTTGCAAGTCTTGCAAGTGGCTAATTTCGCTAGGAATTGGACCGGTTATCTCATTGTAGCTTATGTTTAGCAAGGTTAAACCAGTAAGCTTCGCGATTGAGCTTGGTATGGTACCGTGAATTTGATTTCCCCCCATGTATAACTTGGAGAGAACCTTGGATAAATTTCCTATAGATTCCGGGATGACTCCTTTCAAAAGGTTTCCATCGAAGGCTAGGAAATTAAGTTCGGTACTATTTGCTAACAAAGTTATAAAGTCAAGACCATTGTCCTCACCTGAATTTTCTATGTAGTTGTAGCCAATGTTGTACATCTTGAGGCGAGGTAGGTTCCCTAAACCCGGCGGTATGGTTCCTGTGAGACGATTGTGAGCCATTCGAATCTCTTTGATGTTTGTAAGATTGTGCAACGAGCCAGGAATTCTTCCGGTGAACTTGTTGATGCAAAAGTTAAAATCGAGTAGATTTGGTAACGTTTCTCCTATGTTGTAAGGAAGTTCACCCCAAAGATCGTTCGATGCCAGGGCAAAGAACTCTAGTGATGACATGTTGTACATAGGCGAGGGGACCGTGCCACTGAGGTTGTTTATGCTGAGGTCGAGATGCTTGAGGTTTCGAAGATAGCTTAACTCCATTGGAATGGTGCCACTAATAGTATTAGTACCCAAATCCAAATTAGTCATCGAGGTGACATTCCCTAGTGATGGAGGTATCGAACCAAAAAATGTGTTGCTTGCCAAGTTCAAGACTTGGAGCTTTGGAAGAAGACTCACTTCATTTGGGATCCTCCCCGAAATCTTGTTCATCGTCAAGTCCAATACCTCGAGCTCACGCAACTTACCTATGTTCGATGGGATTGAACCCTCTAATTTGTTGGAACTCAAGTTGAGAACTTTCAATTGAAGTAGATTACATTCTTCCTTTGGTATTGTGTTGGTAAGTTGGTTGTTTTGAAGTTGAAGAGATTGGAGAAATGAAAGGTTACCTATATGAGGGCTTATTTGTCCAATAAGTTGTAAGCTTGACAAGTTTAGGCCAATGACTCTATCACCAAACTTGTTACAAACAACTCTTGTCCAATTGCAAGGGGACAAGTTTTGGTCCCATGAAGATAAAGGATTATTGGAAGGATTATCTAAGCTTAATTGGGATCGGAATGAGATTAAGGCATCCTTGTCTGAATCGAGATTCGACTCTACAAGAAGGATTAAGGGATGGTCAAATGTTAAAAAAGATAAGGCTAGTAAGCTAACAAGATAAGAAAATGCAAATAATGAGGGCATTTTTTTGGCTAGTTTTGCAACTTCTAGTATTTTTTACTTTGCATATAACAAGAGTTAGATGCATGTGTACTTATAGAAACCTTTGGGGTTTGGTGATCAAGTGATATGTCCCACCTAGCTGGTCCAACGTAAGTAAGGGGTTAGGGGTGCTAATTTTCTTTGTGGATCATACTTGCTCCCTAGTTTTCGAGTAATTGATTAGTCTCCAATGGCAGCTACAAGATACGTCATGCCGTGTACTCGTAATGTGTGTTTGGGTAGAGTAATAAGAAGGGAGATAGAGTTAATAAGAATGGTCATATACTCATATGTGTTTAGATAGAGTAAAGATAGAGATATCAATGAGGTAATACACTCGTAAATAAGAATGGTCATATGTGTTTGGGGAGAGTAATATGAAGGGAGATAGACATATCAATGAGGCAATACACATACACTCGTATATAAGAATGGTCATACCCGTCAAAAAAGAATGGTCATAGCTCGTTCACCAAATAAACCAATTCACGAGGTTGAATTGAATACGCTTGAATTGATTAATAAACAAGCCTAACTAGAACAATTGTAGACTAGTGAAAAACTTGGTTGTGTTCTTTTGTTCTTTTATCAACTCTTCCGTGCTTGTCTAATGCTAGGAAAACAAATCAAAGTCCGTGAAAATAAATGTGAAAGATCAAAGTTAGTTGCTCACATAATTGCATAAAGTATCTATGTTTACCATTCCTCACTTTCCCAAATATCGTATACTAGATGAAACCCGTGCGATGTACGGTTTGTTAGTATTTTTTTTAAAAAATATTTTTCATATTTATGCGATTAAAATTGTTATTATATTAGTTTTAAAATATTAGATAAAATTTCTAATCTCAAAAGATAATATTTTGTATTTAATTATATTTAATTTTAAAATCTCATTAGTCAATTTTGCTTACATGTCAATTGAATTATTTAATTGTAAAAGAAATTAATAATCTCTTATTTAATTGGCTATAACTCAAATTCATAATCCTACATAAGAAAATTAAATCCTATGTGGCTCTCTAAAATCTCGGGGAAAAACTCCCCTTTATATATATATATATATATATATATATATATATATATATATATATATATATATATATATATATATATATATATATATATATATATATATATATATATATATATATATATTAGATTATATTGTATATACGTATGATTGGGGTCATGTTTAATTCCACAACTTTTTTTTATGTGGCTGGTCACACCACCGTGTGGCCAGTTGACACTCAAGTAAAACCTGATCAAATAATCCCTCGAGTAACCCCTATTCGAGTAATCCCTAATTGGATCCCTCAAGTAACCCTAACCTAGTAACCCCTCAAATAATCTTTGACCGAGTAGCCCCTGACTGAACCCCTCAAGTAACCCTTGACTGAGTAACTCCCCACCGAACCCCACAATCAACCCCTCACCGAACCCCACGAGTAACCTCTGATCGAACCCCTCAAGTAATTCCTTACTGAGTAACTCGAGTAACCTCGAGACCTCGACCACACGGTGTGGCCAGCCACAAATAAAAATTTATGGTTTAATTCACCTTATTTTTACTTGTATCAAATCAGATTAGATCGGAAAAAAAATAAATTAATTGTGTGACGTACTTTTATTGTTTATAATTGTATTTTACTTCGTTGAATATCTTTAAATTTGTAATTAAAAATTATGAAAATTATTTCTTTATAAAATATCGTACATCAAAAGGTCAAAGTTTGGTTAAATCAAACATTCAAATCAGATCCAAATCAAATCAAATTAGACCATATAAATTCAAATTAAATCAAATAAGCAAAACATAAGGTAAATTAAACAAGCACCGAGTCTTATTGACTTATTAAGCTCATCGTCATATCCCGTCATTCATTAAAATTTGATTTTGACTGTTTTTAAAGGCTAACTTACCAAAAGCTCTTTCAAATTGATTAGAGTTGTTAATTCGGGTAAACGGGTTGGGTTTGAGTCGGGTTAGTGTGAGTCGAGTCATCTCGGGTCGGGTCAATACGGGTTAATGTCATAACATATGCAGGTCGGGTTCGAGTTAGGTCATGCTTGTGTATGCAAGTCGGGTCATACATCTTATCGGGTTTGGGTCAGGTTTAGATCGAGTTAGTAAAAGGTCGGGTTACATTCGGGTCTGGTGAAAAATAGGTCGGGTTAAATTCGGGTCTTTACGAATATAAACGAGTTAGGGTCGTTCTTGGGTTCGAGTCGGGTTCGGTTCAAGTCAATTATTTACGGGTTATAATCAGGTCGGGTCATTCTCGGGTTCAAGTTGGGTTCTGTTCAAGTCAATAATTTGCGGGTCATAATCAAGTCAGGTCAATTCCAAGTCGGGTCATTCTCGGGTTGAGTCGAGTTCGGTTCAAGTCAATAATTTGCGGAAAACATGTTTCGTCCTTGAAATTCGTCGCTAAAAACATGTTGTGAAACTAACCTCTTAAAATTCAAAGTGAAATATTGAAGGAATAGAGTTAAGATTCAATTTCCGTTCCAATGCAAACATGAGATAACGACCTATACATATTGATTCAATAACAAGTCGGGTTGAATTTGAGTCCGGTTAATAACAAGTCGGGTTGATTTGAGTCGGGTTTGTAACAGGTCGGGTTGAAATTCGAGTCGGGTTTGTAGCAGGTCGGGTTAGGAACTAGTCGGGTTGAATTCGGGTCGGGTTAGGAACAAGTCGAGTTGAATTCGGGTTTTGACGGGTGAAAACGGGTTTGGGTCTATTTCGGTTCAGCTCGGGTTCGGTTCAGGTCAATAATTTACAGGTTACATTCGGGTCAGGTCGTCTCTAGGTCGATTAATGTTCGGGTTCGGATCTCACATACTTGGGTCAACTCGGGTCTAGGGTTGGTTTCAGGTCGGGTTCGGGTCACCATTTTTTTCGGGTTCAGACGGGTCGGTTTATAGGTCGGTATTTCGGGTCGGGTCAGCTTTTGACAGCTCTAAAATTGTTCTATAAATTATAGAATGGACAATGAAAAGAATCTTTACTTGATCCGAAATGTGCATATTTATCTAATTTATTTATAGATCATCAAAGACCCCGAAAATATCTTAAGATTTACACAAATTCTTATACGTGACCACTAACCAGTCATCATAGGGGTTATTTCATTAATGTAATAGAGGTTATTTGGTCAATGTTAAAGAGTTATTTCATCAATGTTATAGGGTTATTCGGCTAGTGTTATAGGAGTTATTCAGTCATTACTACAAGAATTACTTGGTCAGTGTTATAAGATTATTTTGTTCTTTTATAAGAAGCACGCGGTGTGACCATCCACACACGAGGCGCTTTGTAAAGTTTAACCTTATAAAAATTAAGTAAATTAAAAGATTTTAAACAAAGAAGATATATGGCGGGAGTAGATGATTTGTTTAACTCCACAAGGTCTTGATGATAATTACATGTAATCAAAGAAAGATAATCATGAATGTGGACTACATTGTCAGGATATACTATTTTCAACATACCAAGGTCAACTTTATAATTTTCATACATTTTTTTTATGGCTAATAATTTTCATACATAATTGCTAGAACATAAATTATCTTTATTTATTTTTCACTGGCTTAAATCTGTTGTTGATATTAAGTTTTAATGTGTGTAAAACCACTAATGAAGGGTATGTTCTCATTGACTGAACTCAGCTGAATTGAACTGAACTGAACTGAATTGAGTTGAACTGAGCTGAACTCAACTGAACTGAATATATTATAAGAGAAGAAAATTAGGAGCTGAACTGAACTGAGCTGAGCTGAACTGAACTGAACTGAATTTCAACGTAAGAGAACATACCCGAAGTACCTATTTTAAATAAATAAAACTTTCAAAAATCCTTGTGTCATTTGAGAAGTGATGCTCCATACAGAAATGATTTGATTTAAATAGTTGTTCCTATCAAAAAAAAAAAAAAAAAAAAAAAGTTGTACATTAAAACTGCTATTGGTGTTTGATTAATCATCTCTTAACACTGATATTTGTGGTTTTCATTTTTTTAAAAAAAATGTTGACGAATTTATTGTTAAAAGTTTTTTCCAATGCTCTATACGAGTATTTGACAATGAAATACAAATGGAGGTTTTTTTTTTTGACAAATGGAGGTATTTAGTTCTGGTAGGATAAGAGTTGGAAATAAGACTCCTAAAAGTCAGTCTTAAAACAATTGAGCTATTTAAAGGTCTATCTCTATAAAAGAAAGTCCAATTTACCAAGTCTAACATAATGTTCGAACTTCCAAACTTTCAACATAAACGCAAACTCTCTAGTCCTTTTAGTTGGTTCCTTTTGGTTTTTTTTTTCTTTTGTTTTCATTCTCTGTGTTTGTCTTGTTTAGGTTTTCTTGGTGTGTATTTTTGTTTTGTTATATCAAATCTTTGTAAAAAAAAAAAAAAAAAAACCCTTAGGTATGAAAGCAGAAGAAAATGGGCATTTCATATTTTCATTTAGGCTACAAAGTGTTGATTATAAAATAACACAAATTTTTATATGTGGCCGAGGTTACTGAACTTACTTGGTCAGAGGTTACTTAAGGGATTCGGCCAGGGATTTATCAGTCACAGGTTACTTAAAGGGATACTCGGTTAAGGGTACGATTACTCGAAGGGTTCAGCCAGAGGTTACTCGAGAAGTTACACAGTCAAAGATTACTCAAGAGTTACTTGGTTAGAAGTAACCCTAGTAACCCCGCCACACAATAATAATCCCCCTTCCTTTGTTTTTATCTTGATTTGTTTTTATTTATCACACTTATCAATACAAAAATTTAGATAATTTGATATAGTAGGATTTTCTTAATACAATTCAAAGAAAATTCCACATGGTGTTTTTTCTTTTGTATATCAGGTATACATGTTTAAATAGTGCAAATCAAAATAGATCAAGTAAAAAAGAAAAAGGAAGTACTCATCCAAGTACATCAAAGAAAATTTCAAAATGAGCCTATATAAAAATAAAACTGAGTACAGACATAACATGTATAGGTAATACTCTTCAGATATAAAAGGGTTGACAAAATTAACCTCCCAACATTTAATAATCTGCATCATATATTATTAACTTCCGAAATCAAACATCTACAAACATAAGTCATAACTTAAAATTTAATCGGTAAAATCGATTTTAGACTTCTTGTAGTATGTCTATAAAATGCCGCCTTCGGGGTTCCCTCAGATGTTCTTCAAGTCTCAAAATTGCCTCCAGTTGTTGAGCTTATACTACACATTTTCTCATTAGTTTCATGACAAGCAACGAAGATAGGCAAGAGTCGAGCAGATTAAAAAAGTGCCTCTTAAATCCTTATAAACTGATCTCGGTTGATGTTGATAGTGCATACTACTATGCACCTCCTATGGCTCTACTATCTCATGGATGACAAGGCACGGTTATTATATTTAAGATTTATTGACATTTTATACAAAGTAAACCCTTCATACAGATCGTATATTTCTGATAAAGGGATATTATGGCCACAGGAAAGCTTCCAAGATTTGAACCACCCGGACGCACTAACCTAAAGCTCGCTCCTTCATGAGCCATGACTTGTAGCTTTACCCAAGGACGTAAAGCTGAGCCTGCCCAAGAAAAAGCATTGGACTTTGGTGATTGAAATTAACTCCACAAAGAGAACATCAATAATAATATACTGCGAGAATTACCTAATAAACGGCTTTTTTTGTACAGGAGCGGTTATTTGAACAGGTCCTGGCATTGTAAGTTCAGCAGGCTGCACAAATAGAACAAGCAAAGATGATCAAACCACATGCAGTAAGCATCTAATTACCCAAAAAAAAAGCAGGTACAAACCCTCCAATCACCAGGTAAATAGCAATTACAGTGTATTCGACACATCCACAATAATATCAAAAGCAAGAGGGGAGAGAAGGATAAAAACATACGCTCTTAAACCGATGACACAAAAGATGTAAAATAGGGTAAAGAGTGGTTTTCATTCCAAAAATCTTCCAAGTTCAAAACTTTTCCATTTAAAAAAATGGAAAATGTACGCCCTTTATTCTTCCCTCCCCTTCTAACCCAACCATATTATTGCCCAGCTAAGGGGATATACCTATCAACTCCTTCCCCTGCCCTCCAAATCCCCTCAACCAAACATACAGCACAAGCTGGCAGAGATATTTTTATAATGATTTCGGAATTGAAGGGAAAAAAAAAAAAAAAAAAAAAAAAAAAAAAACCGTTCTCTGCCTAAAAATATAATAAGTACGACAATACTTTTTGGAGATCCCAGATTCTGGAGATAGCTAAATATCTCCATTGGGTAGATTAGCCACCTGCAACCTCTAAACTCTAATATACAACAACATAATACTCTTACTAGTGCTTGGATCCCACTATCTATCAAAATACGAAGTATATCGCTATTAATGTCATCATTTTCAGGGACTCGGGAACATTTACGACATTTTAATCATTGATAATTCAAGCGAAAGTAAAAGAGAGAGTGATCCAGGAATAGGAAAAGACCTCAAGCTCTTCCAAACTCCCATTAGCAAATGAACTGGAGTGAGCAGCAGTTGCACCAGATATTCCAATTTCCACTGCTTCCACAACAGACGAGGTCTCCTGTGACAACTTAGCAGCTTCTCCAGAATATTCAACTTGATGAGCATTTTCTACATCTGGCTCTAGCTCATCAAGCTCAGATAGATCTTGCTGAGCACCGTATGGACCTGACATCATCTTTTCAATAGCCACCTTCTCTGCCTCATTGGAGTTGGATGACGCAGCAGGAACTGATGCAGTACTGAGAGGCGGACTTTGTTGGACAGATCTATCAAGCTCACCATTATTTGCAGGATGTAACATTTCTGTATCTGTTCTCTCAGTATTCACCTCACTAGATCCATCCATTTCTAGATGATCCACTTTTACTAAAGAAGTTGCAGTGCTGATAGGACTACCTGCATGACCTCCTTCACTTATAGAAGGCAAAGAAGCTGAAAGTCTGGGCAATCCCACACCAGACACAGTATCATCATTCTCCTTTTTTCTCCTCTTCCCATCACCTAGCTTATCTAAACCAGACTTCATCTCAAGAGATCGCTTACTTTCTCTAGAAGATCTTGTAGGACGAATACCCCCAGGAAATACAAAAGCTGGTATATTTCTTCGCGTTACATAGCTAACCCGAATTTCCATTCCAGGTTTCCACATAGTATACATATTAACAGTTTGCTTAAATTCATCAACGGTCATCCTTATATCAAACTTTTCGCATTCACCAGCTGGAACCTCTTTTTTACGCTGCAAACCCATGAAATAAGAGCTATGAAAAGGTTTGGATTCATCTGTGAATTCACCTGGGTGAGGATGGCACTGAAGCATATTGTATGTGTGCCTCTCAATCTGGATTGGCATAAACAAATTTCAGAAATGGATTCCACAACGGATACATGAATAAAACTCCAATCATGTTATTGTAAATAGCTTCTATTTTACCTTTAGCGTAAGTGTACGAAGACGAGACTCAACCCAACCTTTCCATTTCTGATAATCATCAGCATTTTCAGCATTGATGTCTATCTGCAGATAGTGTCTATATGCCTCGAAGAAAGGATATGGCTTAAAAAGTGAGTCCCAGTCACCCTTGTTAGATTCCATAGCCTGAAAGTGCAGACAATCACCAATCAGAACTACAGAAGGAAGAATACAGAAAAGAACAAAACACACACACACACACACACACACACACACACACACATAAAGCCCAGCATGTCATCAGAATTGCATTGTAGCCACAACCCAATGGTACAACTTGGCAGACCAGGACAGCAGAGAGTTCCTCATGTTTGAAGACAACAGTCACTTACTATTGACAAACCTATAAGCAGCTTTTCTATAACTAAGTATCTCATAATACTCTGTATGTAACATTAAAATCACAACATAAGCTACAATATTGATTGATTGATAGAAACAGGAAGGTAATAAACTGAGCCTCCTATAAAAAGGCGAGACCAAACACAACCCTTCTCTCAATGAGTAGGGAAAGACAATTAGAAGCTAAGAGGAAAAGAAATGCAGAGTAGAGTAAGGATATATCACACAAGAGAAAAGAAATGACATAGGAGACACAAACGCGCTCAAGCTCCACACATTAGATTACAAGCATCAAAACAAAATTAAACAGGATCCAGTGTCATCTACATTCATGGCCAGATTGGCCCCACTAATATAGACCCTAGACAGCCCTTGGAGACAAAAAAAAAAATTAGATGTAATATTACTCATATTCATCTGCATCCACAAGAGATCCCCAAGGTATGACTCTAAACTAATGCCAATCCAATTAAGACAGACCTAAAAAGCAGTAAGACACTTCTTTTTTAAGATTTCCAGCTGACCCCTTAGGTTTTGTCAGGGGTGAAAGCTTCAACCGCTAGAGAGGTTTCTAGGTAACAATAGAGTACTAGAATACAGGAAACTAAACAGCTCAATAATTAAAGAAAGTACTCCAATATTTTTCCAAAACTTTCCAACAATACTGTCTGAAAGAAACAAGCCATGAGCTACTCAAAATCAGAAAATCCATTCCGCCATAATCGACTCAAGTCAAGCTAAAGTCGTGCGCTATCTACAACTTCAGTTCAAGTCCACACATGGCACATCAATAAGATACACATTGAATTAAATAAATAAATTAAATTAATTTTAAATAATACTTAAAAAAAAAAAAAAAAAAGAGTGGTTTGAAGGCTAAAAGTAGTGAAACCATACTGGAACTGATATACAATACATAAGCATATCCCAACAGCATAAAAATCAAAGTCTTAATCCCTCCCATAATAATGATTCCAGAGAGCATTTTCTTGGCAATCAAAATGATCAAATGGTAAATGGTAAGGAAAGCATAGCTGTAACTTTTTACATCATACTTGATAATCTTTTTAGATAAATTAATGTTAAATCTTCTATGTAGCCAAAGACGATATCATCTGACACCCCCACAAACTTAAATACGAAGTTCATCTTAAAATAAAATTTGAAGACACGCTTTAGATCTTGTGTTAAATACAGTCGATATTCTCAACAAACATAAGATGGCCAACATACAACTCACAGAAACCTCCGAGTATCAACCAGCTTTTTTTTGCAATTCCTAAGAAACTCCCACAAGTGTAAGAGCCTAAAATGTTAATGCATGACAACTTTGGGTCCAATAATTCCAGGAGCCAATGCCACCCAATACACAATTTCCCTCTTTAATCTTCATAGGTTTTCCAAATACAACGGCACAAGAGGCTTCTGAGAGAGACTTGTAAGAATTGATAGTGACAGTCAATATGGTGTGCAAAGTTATATGTCCAGCAGGCATGAGAGATAACCAGAAGTAAAAGGCAATGACAACATCCACACCCATGCTCTAGTATTAAAGATCTAGACTTCTACATAAACAGACAGTATAACTTGTAATAATAAAGATCTGAAATGGACCAAAATATGTAGGAAACATATAACATAGAGGCAGATCCTTCCAGTGGAGAGAAACACTACACACAACACTACCCTTCCCTCCTCTCTCTGAGTTCATTGCACAAGGGCAAGAGATATAAAATAGAGGAGGGGGGAGCAACAAAGATAAATGAGACATCATACTAGCGAGAGGGCTCCTCATACACATGGAGAAAACATGGCATCAACATATTCAAGAAAAAATACCTCGCAAATATCATATCCCCTCTGGAACTCTTCTGTCATAATCCGCAGAGTACTGGCCGAGACATTATAACTAGAATTCATGCATGGATATGCAGGAGTTATTATAGGCATCAAATGGTATCTATCCTTGGGATTCCTCCTTGGATCCCAAACTTGCAGACCAAGAGATCCCTCTTCAATATCACAGAGCATGACAGGATTGGGCCATCTCCATTGAGTATAAACCCTAAAGAAGCGAGAGACTAACATATTGGGCAATGCGTTGGGATACAACTGACAAATACGAGCGACTAGTAGTGCCCAATTAATACCGCCAAGAAACCCAGCCACCTAACCATGAAATGAAAGAAAGTATTAAGATCCAAATATTCCACACACACACACACACACACACACACACAAAAAAAAAAAAAAAAAGAGAGAGAGATGAAAAAAAAAATTATTAGAGCCTCTACCAAGACAGTTTCTTTATTTACATAAAAGGAGGAAATAACTCATTCTTTATTTACATAAAAGGAGGAAATAACTCATTCTTACATTTGAATAGACACCACGACGTTTTGCCCAAAATCGCATGCATCTAAGTGTGGTGCGGAAATTCTGCAACAGGCGGTAAAAATTCAGAAAATATACCTACTTTAAAGACCAAAAAATTGCACGGGTTACTCGACTTCAAACCATCAAAAGAGTATTTGGCTCCTTAAACCATCATGAACACCCACTTTTGTAAAGACAACTTAGATACTGTAAATCAGACTTTACCAGCAATACAGACCTGTATATTTGGCACCAAGCGCAAAATTTGATCTGTAACTCTACAACCATTAAGACTGCGAACAGTCTGCTCGTCAGCATTTTGCAAAATTGAATCTTGGGAAACATCCAAATCCTACATTATAAGATATAGAGCAAAATAGCACATAAGCAACATATGAGACACGCATATTCTTCAATATTAAAAAGGCAAGTTCCTGATTCTCTCCCCATCAGCACACAGCACTCACACGAAACATGATCAAGATTACTCAACCAGATAACTGCTAAAATCTTCCTCAAAATGACAGATAGAAGTTAAATATACGTTGGGGAGAGGTATTAGAAACTTTTTAAGGGTAAACTGTCCTTCACTACCTCCTGTGAGACCCTTGCAAAAACAATGGAGAACTTCAACTCCAGAAACTAATCTAACCTAAGAAGGAAGTGAAGCAAATGGGCATGAACTTTTTAAGGGAAAAATCATAGTTACACGAGATGTACAAAATTCATCAAAAAATTGGGGCCAATACATATATGATTACAGATAAAGACATACTAGCCAACCTAAGCACGTAAGCAATAAGACAAGCTAAGTAGCTAACATGCATTTTCCTAGTAGATACATCAATATAATATGTATCAGAATTTCGGTTTCTTTGTGCCTCAATAAGAACCAAGCGCATAGAGTGTAAAATGATCATGATAGATGTCACATTTTTATTCAACATGAACACAAAATAAAAAAAATTAAAAAAAAATTAAAAAAAAAAAAAAAAAAAACCAAAGTTCGTAACTATAGCATGCAAATGAAATAAGTCAGACAGCTGTATAAATGTGGGGATTATACTCACTTCAGGAACCACCCAAAGCGACAATTTTGCATAAAGAAGATCTATGGACACCCCATTGAACTTAAATCTCATCACCGGGACAAAAGCATCAGGCACAGGGTGCAACTCTGTAACCTCTGGCATCTCAGAAAGCATCCTGTGGAGTTCTCCAAAGAAATCTTCCTATATCCAGTAAAATATAACAAGTAAAGGGGGCACTGAAGTAGGAAAAAAATGGGAAAGGTATAGAAGCAGACAAAAGTTATATCTTACCTCTCGCGTAGCGTGTCTAGGGCCAACACATAGGGTATCTATATCAGCTCCAGGACTATGCACCTGGTTACAATGACCAAAAAAAAAAAAAGAAATTTCAGCAAAGTTGGCACTATTACAGTAAGTGCTTGGAAAAAAGAAAGGTAAAATGGTAAGTAATTTCCAAGAAACACAAGCTACTAAACACTAGTGTGAAAAAGATCATAAAGTATAGTTTCTTTGGACATTTCCAGATCACTATTTTCAGCTTCAGCCAACCTGGAGCAACGACAAGGTGGAATTGTTGGAATTTGGGAGGAAGAGATATAGAATATTACTCATAACAAGCAAAAATAAAAAATTTCTTTAAACATGTGTTTTCCTATTTCAAACATAATTTCAGTCTCTTTCCTAAGGTTATGAATCACCAAATATTCATCCACCCTAAAGAACCAGCCTAGTATTTCTTCTACAGCCAACATCTGTATACTCAGTACATGCTTAGAAAGAGCCCAAAAATACTACTTACATATCTCAAAACAATCACAAGCTAGAATTGCAAGCTTACAAGAAATACTTTCAAAAAAAGAAAATTACCCACAAAAAGCCACATTCACGCAATAAAGCTAGGTTTAGTTACTATTATTATCAAACCCTAGTCAATGATCTAGCCTTTTCCCTTCACTTCAAGCTTATACAGCTCAGATTGTGTCCCAATGTTATTAGTTTCAACATTGACAATTACTTCTTCCATCATACTTATTTTCCACTGGATGTCGATCAATACAACAAATTGGCCACATTATCATCTACCTCTCATGACGTTTAATTCTTAAATTACAAAAGGAGTATTGGTTTTTAGTGCAACTCGCATTGATTGGGACAAGCCATATCAAATTATCCACTTGTCATCCCACCAGAAACACAGACATGGGGCCATATGTGGATGGCAACTTGAGCGCTTTGCAATTAAACTTTTAAGACTCCAAAGAAGAAGCACACAGCACAACTCAATTGACTTAAGAGCTCAACCAACACCTAAAGCTTAAACTAAAGAATAAGAACATACAATGAATAAGCTAGGAGCTAGGTATAATACCCTTAAAACGCTTGCAATTCTAGTGATAAGTAGGCTTTTCCAGTACAAATTGATCATTGTTAAGGTCTCCTAATTCAGTTGGATGGCAAATCTATTATGGTGTACAACAGAGGCCAGGCATTATTTGATTTTTCCTAGGTGAAGGAATTGCTATATAATGGAGGGTCATCGTGCTTAGGGAAGGGCTAAACACAGGCCCGTACAAGATAATTAAATTCTCTAATGTAAGCAAAGATAAATTATTCAAAAGAGAAATTAAGAATCCTTATTAAGAATGAAGTGGGGGGAAGAACCAACAAAAGCAGCAGCAACATATAAAAGGTTCCATACCCCAAGTCGATACGACCCAAACGTGAAAATCTTTGCATTTGCTTCTTGCACCAATTGTTCATTCAAACCCTTGGCTCGGCTAACTGTTTTCACCCAGTGCTTCACAATCTATGCAAAAGCCAACAAAGAATAACCCAAAACATTATTCAATACCACGAGCTCAAATCAGCATAACAATTCAATAAAACAAGACAACCATATAATATACACACAAAAGGCGGCTTGACCTGGTCCAATCTTCCAAGCACTTCTTCCCTTCTCACTGCCTCCTCCTGCTGCTCATACAAACCCACATTTTCCAAGTACTGTAAAACCGAGATTCTCACTTCAGTATGGCCTCAAACAATTCACAATAGATGATCAACAAAAGCAACCAATTCTACGATAAGAAAACTGTAAATTAACCTTTTCAAGTTCGTGGGTCTTGTTCACATCATATTCCGTTGGTCCACCAAACGATATTGGCTCAGTTATGCCCAATCGTTGCCCATTATTTTGATTGTTCACGCCCAAATTAGCCATTAATTCAAGGTCAAAGGATAATACCCTTCGTCCTATTTTTCACTAACAAGTATCCTTTTCCTGTTCTTTGTTTTTTTTTTTTTTGGCTATAATTTTAATACCATCAACAAAATTGATTTCTTTTTCCACCAATTATTTCCAGAATTCTTTTTTGCTTTCCGTTTTTTTTCTTTTATTTTATTTCCCAAAAAAATAAACTTTTGCACATCAATTTAATCAACAACTCAGGAAATTAAAAAAATAAGGAAAAAAAACTACGAAATAACGAAGAACGAGAAATCTGTTAATGTGTAGTATAGGGATACAAGATACAATCAACCGAAAAAATCAAAGAAATAAAAACTACGACAAATTTGAAGCATGAATTGGGGGAAAATTAAACGATAATCTAATACAACAGAGAAACCCTAATTTCATCAAATTGACAAAATTAAACAACCAAAAATTAGGGGAAAATCGAAAGCTTATCACACAGATCAACGAGCGGATTATTAATCGACAAAATCTTCCGCTTCCTTGCTGCTTTGAACTTGGATTAGATTTCCGCCATAGCAACCCAGAAATTGAGAATTGTGCTCTCCTTGAATTTTGATAGGAGAGAAGAGAGAGAAAGAGTAGAGATATTTGTAGAAAGTTTGGGAGAGAAAAGGTGGCTAGTTTAACTGATGCTGCTCCCCTTTAGTGCAAATAAAATCCCTCCAATCGGCCAATCACATTATTCCGTCCGTCCTTAAATAATGTGTTCTCGACTTCTCGTGTTGTCTTTGGAATAGTTGTCACTTTAACGCTTATAAGTGTAGATTAGTAACTTTTACGCTTGTAATGCACATTTTTTTTAAGGATTTTTTTTTTTTTTTATTTTGAAGAAAATTATTTACAATGCATATAATTCATATATTTGCACTCAAAGAATCAATATTTCAATTTAATAAAATTCGATAATTCCTATTGTTGTTGATACACTAAACACTAATAAAGATCTACAACAATTAAATGGACTAAATCATGTGGGTATTATCCCTATTAGTTTATCTCTTTGCAATTATGTAAGTCGAATTTAAAAACTCTTACCACAAATTATCACTAATTTATTAGAAAATAGATTAGGTCTCGTGCCATGTACAGTAATTTCACTATTATTCTACATTATATTTGTAAATAAATAAAAAAAAAATTTATAAAAAAAAAATTGTAGACAACATATAACCATAATATATATTTTCTTTTTCTTATACAGGTATACAATGAAATGAAAAATGGATTATAATGAAAGAGTGAGTATTGTAAAAATAATATGATATCGTTTTTTCTTCTTAGGGTCTGTTCTGATTGACTGAACTCAGCTGAATTGAACTGAACTGAGCTGAACTAAACTGAACTGAATTGAAATAAATATTTTATAAGAGAAGGAAATTAGGAGCTGAATTGAACTGAACTGAGTTGAGCTGAACTGAACTGAATTTCAACGTAAGAGAACGGACCATTATTAACTACTGTAAATTTAATTAAGAATTTTAAAAGTGTATATTAAGCACTATGGGAATGAATAATAATTGCGGTTTATATTTTGATCATAGATTGAATGTTGTGTGTAAATCACTCCATGTATCTAGTCACAATTAATTGCATTGTATGTCTCCTGTGATCTTAATAGGTTTTTTCTAAAGTATTTTATGTAAATTAATATATTTTGACCAAAACATCTCATTTCATATATATGTCATTCATATTTACCGATATGATTAATTATAAATAAAATTTTATCAATAATTATTGATAAAAATATTCATAGTTTTCTTTACAAAAAATATTTCCACATTCTTATTTCAATAAATAATTTTATTTTTTCCCTTTCATAATATTAAAACAAATGAAATAATATGCATTATGTATAATACTTATACAAAGTAAAATATTATTATATAAAGTATATAATAATATTTTATACAATAAAAAAATATGTGAATATCCCCAGAGATATCTTCTTTATTGTGCTCAATGTACATAGGAATTACACTTTAATTATTAAATTAGGGTTTGGCCTTTCCATTTTCTCACCCCCTTGGGCGGACCCATGAAGGAACAAGGGGGACCATTGTCCCCCCACTTTCTGGGAAAAAAACAGAGGAAAAAAAATTTAGGAAAAAAAATAAAACTGGAAAAATAGTTATATAAAATTAAGTGTAAAAATAAACAAGAGGTTTGCCTTAGCTAAGTTGGTAGTGGGCTAGAAATAATATGTCAAGGGGCCCAATATGGTGACACGTGGGCATGATAGGCCCCACTAACGAATTTATGGACAGAATCCGTTAGTTGGCGGTGATTTGTGGTAAAAGTCAATTTTCATTTTTTTATGTGGGGATAAAATAAAACTTTTTTTATGGAGGTGGTAAAAGCAATTAAGTTATTTTTTTGGAGGTGGTAAAAATAAAAAAAAAATCCTTTATTTTAATAAAACCAATCGTCTACTCCCTAATTTCTATTTCCCAACCACGAGGCACGAACCACCACCCACGCGGCCACAAGTCACGGACTGCAGCGAGCATTTTCGGCAAATGTTTGCTAAGAAATTAACATCACAAGATAATATGGCATTTGAATCCCCCTTGTAACATCATTCCCTTGTTTTTTTTTTGGGGTGTTTTATTTCACCATACCACTCGACTACTCCCTTATTCCTATTTCCCAACCAAACCCAAATTATTACTTGTATTGTGTACCCATTTTTTTTTAAAAAAAAAATAGGTTAATGTTAGTTGAATTATCGAAATTGTCCCCCTATTGTTTAATTTCTAGGTCCGCCACTGCTCACCCCTAATTGGAGGAGATGAAGAAAAAGAAGGTGGAGGCGTATGTTGCTCATTCTTATTCCTCTTTTTTTTTTCTTTTTTTTTTTTTTTTGGAAATTTGTGATTTTCATATATCTTACTCCATTCCATTCACCCTTTTTTAAACTTTGATCGCACTAAAAAGACGACTGAGTAATTATGTAGGATATTCATGGAATTGCATCTTGTGTTTTGTGTTTATCTCTCTAACTAATTTGCATTGGAGTCAGTAGTGTAGTACATTTTGTCATATTGATTTGTATTTTTAAAAAAATATTAACTTTATAAACAAATATTGGTTAGCATAAACCTTTAGCTAAAAGATTAAAAGTTTTATTTTTGAGTTACTTATCATGTTTCAGTAGAGGTGATCATTGATGGGCGGGGCCGGGTTTAGGCCGAGCTATCCTTTAGAGGGTGGTCATTGGATGACCAATGACCTGGTCATGAAGAGAGAGAAAGAACTTTTTATATTAAAAAAATGGAAAAAAGAAAAAAATGGATTAGAAAAGTTGATGACCAGGTCTTTGTAATGACCAAGATAGAAGTCTGGTCATGAATATATTAATTGACAAGTGGCTACATATTATTGGAAGAAGGAAATGGGTATTTGTATGGTAAAAGTAGGAGAGAGAAAATCATGACCAAAGTAATTTTGGGCAACCGTTGAGAGTCTTTGGTCATGTGGCTTGGTCATCAATGAGTGAAAAGAGAAAGAAATTATATAATAATTCATAACTAAATATTTGTAGTCATCCATTGGATATACTCTTATTAGGTCTATGTTTCACCTAATATGGATTCTTCCCCAAACAATGTAATTTGTGAAGCTAAATGCTTAAAACTGTCCATTCTTGTCATGTTTTCCTTTGTGCTAAATGCTTAAAACTGTCCATTCTTATAGGTTTGACTATAATCGAATTAAAGGAAACTTTTATTCATATTTTGGTAGTGATGTGTAATTTAATTTCTTGTAATATAGGGCCTTTGGCTATTTTTGTGCCAACTCCATGCATCATGCCTTGCACCTAGCTACTTTCATAAATCCTACCCTATACCCACGGCTTATGGCTTATGGATTCGCACCGGACAGTGCTTTATAATTTATCCGTGACTGACTGTTTGAACTGCTTTGATTATCAGATCAACCACTCAGCCAGCTTGCTGGCAGCCCGGGGCATCTCAGTATACCACTAGTCCACTACCATCTTTCTGCTGAATTTATGTGTATGTTTGTTGTATAACAAGACTACGACGCTGCATTGGTTTCCTGCATTATTCTTGTGGATGATGCTCACGAAGGAACATTAGATTTGATCTACTCTGTTGAGTGCCTAAAAAAGTTACTTCCTCTAAAGCCTGACCTGAGCTTATTATAACCGTCGAAGAGGTATGAGTAGATTTATGGCCACTTCACTTTACTTGTTTAGTTGTCTGTTCATAATATATACTTGTAGAGTTGTAGTATTCAACTATGTCCTTTATGTTGCACACTAATTCTACAATGTGATTCTTTAAAAATGACACCACAATTTGATGATGTGGCAAAATATAATTGGCCTATATTTTGTATTTTTTATTTTCATTTTGAATTATTTTTAATGTCCACAATGTATTAAAATTGTATTTTCTTTGTATTATTTTTAATACATGCATTTTTTTTTAAAAAAAAATACATAATTATAAATTATGAAAATGTATTTTTATAATATAAATTAATTTTCAATTTTATAATTATAATTAGAATTCATCGTGATAAGAATTGTTCATCATCGTTCATCATCATCATCATCATTGTTCTATCATTATTGTTCATTATTGTTTGATTTTTGTTGGTCTGCGTTCATCATCATGGTTCAGCATTGCTCAATCGTCATCGTTCATCATTGTTCGATCATATCGTTCATCATTGTTCATGAACCATGTCATAGATTAGCCCCCTACTCCCAAATTCAATGTTAGTTGTATTTGCAAAGGACAAATTTCAGTTTAAATGGTTCAAAAATATGCTTTATGTAGACTCAAATTGTGCAATTTTGTCAAAGAACAAGGAGTATCAAGTTTGTAGAAGATGAAGTAGGTCGAATTTTTTTACCTTCCGCAACCCCTGTTTGATCTTATAAATGTAATTAAGTTTTCTCGAAGTTGTTTGTGGGTTAGGTAATGACTTAAACTATCTTTGGTCATTACATAAAAGCTAATAACAAAAAAAAAAAAAAAAAAAAAAAAAAAACGTGAACAAAAGCTAATTAAAAAAAAGCAAATTTTTAAATTTTTTTGGTAAACTCTTATATGTGAAGTTTTTTTTATATATTTTTTAAAAAATATTCTCTTAAATGTCATTAACGATTTGAGAGAGAATATTTCTCTATAAATTGCTAAATAATGGGCAAATCATATAACAAAGCTATATTTGTATAACTTTGTAAACAAAAATATAAATATATGATATATATAAAAATGGCAAAAAAATGTGTTTCTTAACAATGATAAAAAGGATGGGTCCTAAAATTATGGATGTAGATGTATATACGGTCATACAACATGTAATTTAAGAAAGTTATCATTATCTAATATATAGCTAATAACACAAAACAAAAAAAAACAAACAAAAAAAAAAAGGTGAATGAAAGCTAATTAGGAATATCTCAATATTATAGCCACTAATTTATATGCCTAAGATTTCAAAAATATTTTTTCCAAAATATAATAAGATAATTATCCCATAAGTATATTTTGCTAAAATGATATGATAATGATTCAAAAAAAATATTTTTTCCAAAATATAATAAGATTATGATCACAAAAACATTTTTTGCTAAAATTATATGATAAAAATTCCATAAATTATTTTTTTGTAATACGATTAGCGTACAAGTAGATTCCAACTACAAAAGTA